TCTATTCTATTCTATTCTATTCTATTCTATTCTATTCTATTCTATTCCACTCCACTCCACTCCATTCTTCACATATGTTACAGCTCTTTCCTAGATTCAGGTTTATTTTATCTGACACCTCTGCACTGCAGTACCTTCTCCTCCTGTCCTCCAAGGCCATTCTCTCTGAGTTCTATATAGTCTTGGTCTCTCAATAGCACGGAGCTAGAAATGTCATCAATTAATAGAAAAGTTGGGCAGGGCTAACAAAAGAGGATGTATTTGTTGAAAGCAGGCATAATAATTTTGTGGAGGCATACTGAATTGCATGTGAATGCATGTATGGGAGAAAAGGCATTGAAGAGGCACATTTATGGGGCCATATTTATGACCTGAGTTGTTCAGGAAAAGAGCCAGGAGAGGCTCTTTTAGACTGATGCGAAGCCCAAACATTTGCTATGTTATCATGTCATCACACATATTTACCTCTTTGGACAAAAGGAGTGTCGGCCTGTGAACCAGACTGTAAGCAGGGTTGTCCCTTTTTTTTTCTTCTCCTTTTGCAGGGGAGAAGGGATATGGCTTTTTAATTATTTCTGAACTAGAGTTTTACTATTTCTTCCCTTATACTGGCAGGAAACTACATTGCAACTTTTCACTGAATTGAAATAAAAAAATATTTTTAGGAGCCACAAAAAGGTTTCAAGGCTTCACATAGCTTTTGGGATTGTAAATTGTTAATCCTTATTTAAAGTCTAAACTAAACATTTTTAAGGTCCCAATTTTCATACAATACAACATTCAGCTGAAATTTGATATTCCAGTTGCACAAAAAAGTGGTGTGTTTTCCCAATGGTTTTGACTGAAAAATGAAACGTGTTCATTTGTATGTTAGACAATGTGTATTAGAATTCCAAAAGACTTCAAATCTCTCCATCAAAAAAGAAAATCAGCCTTACAATTTAATCTTATTCCTCTGAATCATTGATTGTAGTGAGAAGACATTGTGTAAGAATTCTATGTTTTCTGAATATTGTTTGTCTTTCAACAAGTTGCCTCAAATTGAACAATGATCGATAGATAAAGGTAAAGATAAAGATAGAAGCCAATTTGATCAGAGGTGTATTCAGCCAGTTCTGACAGGTTCTGGAGAACCTGTAGTGGAAATTTTGAGTAGTTCAGAGAACTGATAAATACCACCTCTGGTTGGCCTGCCCCCATCTATTTGCTGCCTTCCAAGTCCCAGCTGATCAGAATCCTAGCTGATTGGCTGGGTCTTCTTTCGTTGCCCTGCACAGGAGAATGGAGCTGGAAAGCAGGTTAGTGGGTGGGGAGGGAATGGGGATTTTACAGTATCCTTCCCCTACCACGCCCACAAAGCCACTTCCACCAAACACACCATGCCCACCAAGCCACGCCCACCAAGCCACGCCCACAGAACTGGTAGTAAAAAAATTTGAATACCACCACTGAATTTGATGTAGATGCTCCCACCTTAGACCTGAAGGCAGTAGGTCTAGTCACATCATAAACAGTCATATTAAACATCTTGGATATTACATAGATTCAGTGACATTGTTTTCTAAATAACACTCTGGTAGTGGTTTTTTTTCAGGATGATGTTTGATTTCACAGTCTTAGGATTCCCTGGTAGTAGTTTATTCAAACATTTTATTAAGATTTACACCAGATAGATTCATAAAAACTTGCAGCCTTCAACTAGAAAAATAGGGCTACATTAATTTCTACAACAGGATCAATCATACTTAACATTTCAGGCTTTTTTTTTCCTTACTAAAGAACAAAAACAGTCTTTTTCTTTTTAAAATCAGCTTTCTGCAATACATTTCTGGGCAGCAACAGTGCATTCCAACCCATTTCTTTCCTGCAAATAGTGGTTGCCCTCTTCCTACCCTCCATCTTGATTTTAGAATCTCAGAGCTGAAAAAATGCTGAACAATCATTGCTTTATCACCTGTGACTCTCTGGAAGCAGATCGTCCTTTCCCCACCCCCTTCAGCATTGAAATTAGCTTATGGAAGCAAAGTTTGAATGGCAAATTCCTGTTATTCCAAAATGGTCCATGCGGAAGCACATTTCCTTATCATTTGAGCTCCAGAATGCACCCATGGAACTATCAGTTCTCAGAAATGAGCCCATCTCTTCTCTTGGCTGGATTTAACAAGATGAGCTACAAAAGGAGCCCCTGATATGACATATCTTGGTAGAAAGAAAGAGAGTGGAAACTGGCTAGCAATGTTCATTTCTTGTCTTGTCTTTTTCCTTTCTGCTCTTCACAATGCTGTTTCACTTGTAGGTAAGTGACTGTCAGGTCTTTGACATGAATGAAATGTTCATATAAAATAACATAGCATTCCTCCCATTTGGGAGGAAAACATAGGAGAGCATATATTTCATATTGATATTTAATGCAATGATTTAACCCTAATGGTAATAATAGATTGGGAATATGGGTCTGCTTAAATAGTACGGGCGAGGTTTCTATGGCACAGGGCTATCATATGTCAAATCTTTTTTTGGCTGTCTGACTATTAAATAATAACAATAAAGAATCCAAAACACCAATCCCCACCTCTAATATGTTCATTGAAGATTGCAGAGTGGGATGGTATCATAATAAACCCAGAATAAACTCATATTACATGAAATATAGATTTATATCAAGATATATATATGTGTGTGTGTGTGTGTGTGTGTGTGTGTGTGTGTGTGTGTGTGTGTGTATTCCTAGTTAGCCATTCTGTTAAGGTGCAGTTTTACATGAGTTCAATAAGTTTTTAATGCAGCAGTATGATAACTTTAGTGTTTCTAGTTCTAAAGGCAAAAATAGTTCTCTCTTACAAAATTAGTTCCTGAGCACTATATTAAAACTATAACCTTGTGCCTACTTCTTTTTGGACAATCTCATTTGAACTCATTGGGAGATACTGATTTATAATCATAATTTAAATGACTACTTTGTAGATGATTGCAAAGGTAAGCTTTCAGGATTTTCAGAAATTGGAGTAATGCAAAGATACCTTATATGTTGTTTAATGCATTAGCTAAAGGCCTGAAAAGCATTTTGCTCTTTCTTTCACCTCCAAAAAATCATAATTAAAGAGTTGAAAATGTATTACAGGTAGTCCTTGACTTAAAACAGTTCATTTAGTGACCGCTAAAAAGGTAACTTATGACCATATTTATGACCGTTGCAGCATCCCCATTGTCATATGATTGCATTCGTATTTATGACAGTTGCAATGTCCTGGGGGGCCCACATGATCACATTTTGCGACCTTCTTACAAGCAAAGTTAATGGGGAAACCAGATTCACTTAACAACCATGTTAGTAATTTAATAACAATAGTGATTCCCTTAACAATAGTGGCAAGAAAAGTCGTAAAATAGGGGAAAATTCACTTAGCAAATGTTTCACTTAGCAATAGATGTTTTGGGCTCAATTGTGGTCATAAATCAGGAATTACTTGTATATTTTTTAAAGGTTTTCTTGAAAATCAAACCCACTTTTATTAAATATAGAACTATGAGCCTGTGTATTTACCCTTGTTTCAAATTTAATGTTTCTCTGTTATCTGGCACATTATATACTATGCCTCCAAAAAATTGTGCTAGATCTGTCCAGGGATTCATCTACCCCACCATTTTCATTTCATTAGAGCCATGCAAGCTCCAAAGTGGAGTGGAGCCAAAGCAAAATAGGATTGTCTAGACGAACCCCTGAATAGATCTAGCATAACTTTTTGGATGCATAGAATACAATGTGCCAGATAATAGCTTACAGTAAAACCATTACACTTAAAAAGAAGGGTGAATACACAGGCTCTTTTATGATTAGCAGCCTTGGTTAAATCTGGTATTCAAAATTGCTTCAATCAATAGAAGGAGGAATCAAAAGAATTGCATTGCTCAACTTGATTTCAAATTCTCTGCTGGTACCTTCTATGCAGAAGCCCGGTTCCCTATGCAGAACACATGCATTTCCCAAAGTTGAGATGGTTATGTTCTATTTTGTTGTGTGGACATCTGTGGATCTCATGATTGGTTTGAACACCAAACACTTTTTTTGGGTATAGCCTTGAAGATGCTGGGGAAAGGAAGAGAGGACCTATTTTCACAGCTGTTTTATAACTTTTTCTTGGGGATAGTTTCTCCACTGTCTGCTGGTATCCTGTATATAATGTTTGGATTATGGTTATTCTTATTCTGATATATGTTTTTATTAATTGGAAGAGGTACTTCAGATTGTGCCTGAGTACAAGATTAAGCACAGGACTTCTTTAAATTAGCTATGTCTTTTCAGACACATGCTTTCACAAACCTGAAAAAAAGATATGCTGCTTACAAAACATCTTGAGAAGATATCCTTATGCATTTTGAAACATCCCTTTCACACATGCATTATCATCACAATCATTACTCCACTGCCTGGGTCATTACCACAGTCATCCCCATTACATCCTGCCTTTCTTCTGGCAGTTCATGAAATTCTCCCCTCCTTTTATTTTCAAAACAATATTTACTATGGTCATAGACCAGTATAGAAGAATGATCTATAAAATTGGAAACCTTTTCTTTTTTAAACTTATCACTAGATATTTTCATAAAACAGGACATTCTGCAAACACTGCATATACCGTATTAGCTTGTTTCATTATTTTGAGTATTGCTAGAACAATGCAATAGCTTTATCACTATTGGTGATAATTATATGTTTCCTGGTATTGTCAGTGAGAAAGACCAACTGTCAAACAGCAAGAGTTCGTTCTCATCAGCTGTATTCTGTTTCCTAATGGCTTAAGCCAAACACAATAAGGAGAGGAAATTGGTTTCTGAATGAGATAAATCTAGGCCAAACTTTTACTGAAACAGAAGAATTTTTAGGTCATAATTCTGCAGAAAACCTATCTATTGCCTCAGGAAGAAAGTATAAAGTAAAATGCACTGCCATTGATTTAGAAGTTATTTACATGATAAATATAAACAATAAAAACTGGCTTTACTTTATCTGGCAATAAAATTCCAAAAGACTATCAGAGCAAACCAAAACCTCTTGCAACCATCTAGTAATTATCCCTACTTTTGGAGTTCAAGTAGTATAATAAAATACACTAGTATTTCAAATTTCCAGGTAGGAATAGCACATTTGTATACTATGGTCTGTAGGAAAACAAATAGGTATTATAATTTCCTCAGAAGAAATTAATTATAGTTTATTACAATTTGCAAAAATGTGACCAGAAATTTATCTGTTAATAGTGATTATACTGTTTAATTTTATTTAAATCTACCAATCCTGTGAAAGTTTAGCATGCTCAAATTCAATATGTGTTAATCCTTAACTCATTTTTAGAAGTTGTCTATTTATGAGTTGTATATTCAGTCTTGTAATCTGGAAGACATATGTTTAATTTAGTGATATGCAAGACTAATTCTTTTTAAACAGTTCTATGGCCAATCTTTGCTTTACTTATGCTTTAACTTATTTTTATATCTATAGATACAAGCACATTTCTAATATATAATGAAGACCATAAGGTCTGTGTATATGTTCAAGCCGCCACCTATGTTACAACGGCTGTTTGTAGTTATGAAACTGAGGCCCAAAAATTCAAGTGGATTTCCAGATACCAGTTGATGAGTGTTTCCAATAAATTATGTCTGGGAGTATCTTCAAAAATTGACTGGACACCAGTTGAGCTGTACCCATGTGACTCAACAAATAGCTTACAGAAATGGGAGTGCAAAAATGACACACTTTTTGCCATCCAAAATGCAAGCCTGTATTTCAACTATGGCAACAAAGCTGAAAAAAGAATTATGCTCTACAAAGGATCAGGCTTATGGAGTAGATGGCGAGTCCATGGAACTAAAGATGATTTATGCTCCCGGGGCTATGAAGGTAAACTGGTTATGCTTTCTTTCTTTCTCCCTCTTGCATCCAGTGAGGTACACAGTATGTAGTAAAAAAAAGTTGAGATATCTATCTATCTATCTATCTATCTATCTATCTATCTATCTATCTATCACCTATCTATTTGTTTATGTTTTCTAAAAGAGGAAAAAAACATTAAAATGTACAAAACATTAAAATTCCTTTAAAAATTACAGCACATTAAAAAGAAATCCACTTATTCTTACAAATCACATTAGATTAGAACAGATTACATTCAGCACCTTTTGAACTCTTAAAGAACCAATATTAGAACCACATTAGAAGTTGACAAAAATAGCCATGATAATAAGAATTAACTGGCAAAATAACTAGAATGAATGTATTATATTAAACTAATATGCAGCAATCCATCCACGTTATATTGGCCAATTGGACAAAACTTCATGTTGAACGAAACACAAATATGGGATGTAGATAGGGACTTCCGGTGACGAGATATGGGCAAACGGAGGTGCTGAAGCTCGCTCTGGGTTTCATGCTATCTCCTCTTGCTGTTGGAGTGACCCTTAGGGGTGCACGCATCTTGTAGAGAAGTGTGCCTGTGTGGGGAGACTCAAGTCGTGGTGTGGAAAAGGCGATTCTCATCGCGACGTAGAGAAACCCTGTGGAGACCGATAGGCTTTAGGCGGTCCTAAAGCCTTGATCGTTGCATACAAGAGGAAGCGAGTGAGTGACAGACTGTGGTGAAGAACAGTGCAAGTGAAAGAATTTGCGATCCTGATTGAGCGTTCAATATTGGAGTATCTTAGTCGGAGTGAAGCCCGAAAACAGTGGCCAAAGCAGATATGAGCGGCGGCGAAAGTGCTCGTGAGACAGAATAGGGTAAGGACGCGAGTGATCGGATAGAGAAGATAAGGGAATCGGAGGGATCTGAGAGACTGATAATAATTGGGGGAGAGAAAAAAAAGAAGAAAGAAAGAACAATAATTTAATTTAAGGGAACTTTGAAGGATTTGAATTGTGGAATTTGGGGAAAATTGGAAGGACGAACTTGAGATGCGGGGAGACTTGAAGTAAGGAATTAAATTACAACTTTAAATATTCCATGAACGAAATTGAATAATTTACTAGTCTCCTTTTGGATTATTGGATTGGAGCTGTAGTAAGTGGAGAAGATTTATTAAAGAAAGAGACTATTTGAATCTAAAAATTGACTTGTTAAACTTTCAAACGAAAGGAGAAATGACTACAGCGGAAAGTGTGGTGAGATAGTGAAATCAAAGACATTACTCAGCAACTCTGTACTTCCAGTGCGCTCGGTGAAGGAATCTTGAAGAACTGAACAATTATATTAAGACACTTTAAGCATTTAAATTTGCGGATTGCAACAATTATTTCTTGACACCAACTTAACTGATTTTTGAATGTGGTAAATGTAATTTATATATATTTAATTGATACATTAGTAATATTGTAGTTTATTTTTGGATATAACACACATAAAAAGGGAGGTGATAATTAATTAATTATTTAGGTATAGATATTTGATTATAGGCATTGAGTAGATTGAATTAAATAATTAATTGTGATTAATTGTAATTATTATAGATTAACTAATTAATTATTGTATAGTAAGGTTGATATATCTATATTTAGATTTGTAAGTATTTGAAATATTATTTTATAACACTATTTTGAGATTTGGTATTCTATAGCATTTATAGATATACAGGTTAATATTATTTAAATTTAAATAGAGGAATTTGATATATTATTAAGAATTAGAAGTCCAGATATTTGATTTAGAAATTAGCTGTAAAAGTGTTCTGGAAAATATATATATATATATTGATAAGAGAGGTTAATCCTATAACATATCATATTATTTAATGTAGTGGCCATTTATAGTTGATATTTCTTAATAGTGAATGTTAGTTTGGGACAACATATTTAATATAATACAAAAACAAATTTTACAAGAAATGACTTCCGTCACTAATACGCTTTAAACTGGAAAGAAGACTTCTTCAATACAAACAACTTCAATGCCATCAACCTCAGTGATGGCACAAAAGACAATTGAAGAAACTTTATCTGGAGAAAAACAACCTATCATCACGAATGCCAATATTCAATCGACCCTTCTTACTCAACAAGAGTCCATGCTGAAGCTTCAGGAAATATTGGTAAAAAATCATATTGAATCAAGAGCTGACACAAATGAACTAAAAGAAGAGATGGGAAACTTAAAGGCAGAAATGAAACTAGACATTCTAAAGCTGGATCAAAAAATTGAAACAATACAGCAAGCACTAGAAAGGAATGAATCAACAATAAAGGAAGTTGAGAAAAGAACGGAAAAAACAGAAAAGAAACTGGAAATGGTTGGTCAGCAATTAAGAAATGTGAGTAAAGAAATGGACGACTCCTTGGTATATTTGGAAATGGATAAGGCCGCAGCATATCTAAGATTCCAAAATATAATGGAATCTAAAGAAGAGGACTTAGAACAAGTGATGGCAGGAATATTAGCAGACCTATTGGAAAAAGATAAGGACGATATTCTGAAAGAGTTAGACAAAGTATACAGAGTGAGCACAAATTATGCAAGACGACATAAACATCCAAAAGAGGTCCATGTGAGATTTGCCAGAAGGAAAGTTCGAGATATTATATATAAAATTTCTAGAGAAGAAACAATTACATACAAAGGGAAAGAAATCTTGGTGCTTAAACAAATCCCAAGAAGAGTGAGAGAGCATAGGCGAGATTACAAATTCTTGGTGAACCAATTAAACCAAAAAGGTATCATATTTAGATGGCTAATCCCAGAGGGAATGCTAATCACTTGGGAAGAAAGAAAACTTAAAGTAGACTCCATGGAAAAAGCCCAAGATTTCTACAAATGATTGATAGGCCTTGAAGAATCGAGTAGTAGAGAAGAGTTAGAAATGAATTTGCAAGACGACCAAGACGACCAGAAAAATAGAGATGGGAATTGTTGGAATTCAAAAAATAAACAACATCAAGAGAGAGAAGAACCGAAGACGCACAATCAGCCACAAAGAGAGACAGGAGTAACTACAAGACAAAGAGCAAGAGTCAATTAGGTGATGGATGAAGAAAAAAAATACTATCAATTAACATAAATGGCCTAAACTCTAGGATAAAAAGGAAAAGAATATTAACCAAATTAATTAAACAAAATGCAGATATAATATGTTTACAGGAAACTCATATAAGGAAGGAAGAAGAAAAATATTTAGAATGCCCCAAGCTAGGGAATTTGTATACGTCGCCAGCAGATTTTAGGAAAAAGAAAGGGATAGCAGTATATGTGAAAGACATGAAAGCATGTGGAGGAAATTAAACCCTGAGAAAAAGCAATTTACATTTTACTCCAACCCTCATCAATCATGGACACGAATTGATATAGTGTGGATGAATGGTGAATTAGTAAATGAATTAAGAGATTGAAATCTTACCAAATGAATGGGCAGATCATAACCTGATCCAGATAGTGTGGAAAGGCAGGAAGAAACCAAGGAAAAGGTAGGCCTTAAATACACAGTTAATTAAAGAGAAAAAATTTATGAATAAACTTGACGAGGAATTAGACTATTTTTTAAAAGAAAATAATAATGAGGCAACTACGAAACAGAATATTTGGGATACAATGAAGGCAGTAATAAGAGGCATAACGATATCATACACTGATAAAAGAAATAAAGAAAAACATGCCCAACAAAATAAATTAGAACAAAGAATCAAAGAATTAGAAATTCAGCTGCAAAACACCCCAAAAGATTGCAAATTGAAAAAACAGATGATAATAACTAAACATCAATTAAATTTAATCGAACAAGAAGGAATGGTCTCAAAGTTAAATACAGCCAGACAGATATTTTTTGAACAGGCCAATAAACCAGAAAGGTGGTTGGCCTATCAACTTAAAAAAGAAAAACAAAAAAGATTGATCTACCAATTAATAGTTGAGAACGGGGATGCCCAACAAGGGATAGAACAGAAAAAAGAAATTGCATGTAAATTTTTTGAAGATCTTTATAAAAAGAAGGAGGTAAATGAGGAAATGATAAGAAACTATTTGGGTATTACTAAAGATAAAATAATTAAGGAGGAGATGAAGGAAATGTTAATTAGAGATATTACGTGGCCCGAGTTAAAAGCAGCAATAGAAAACCAAAAGAACAATAAAACCCCAGGACCCGATGGGATACCAGGGGAACTTTATAAAAAAATAGGAGAACAAATTAGACCTCTCATGGTGGAAGTATATAATGAGGTCCTACTAGCAGCAAGAATGCCGAATTCATGGAAGGAGACATTGATATCGTTGATTCCGAAAGAAGATTCAGATTCACGACATATACAAAACTATAGACCAATTTCCCTGTTAAATACTGATTATAAAATATTTACTACAATTATAGCAAATAGATTGAAAAAAATATTGAATGAATATATACATAAAGATCAAAACGGATTTCTTCCTAATAGACAAATCAGGAATAATTTAAGGATAATATTAAATGTTTTGGAATACTATGAAGCCCACCCAGAAAAACAAATAGCCCTTGTATTCTTGGATGCACAGAAGGTCTTTGACAATTTAAATTGGCAATTCCTAATTCAACAAATTTACAACATGAATCTAGGCACTAAGTTTGAAAACATCGTGACTACAATTTATGATTCACAAAAGGTGAATATTATAATTAATGGAGAGTACACGCTCTCAATAAAAATAGAGAAAGGAGTCAGGCAGGGATGTCCATTATCCCCCCTGCTCTTCATATTATCTTTGGAAACATTGCTTACATGAATTAGACAGAACCCAGGAATAAAAGAACTAAAAATTAAAAAAGAAGAATATAAACTCCAGTCATTTGCGGATGATATGGTATTTTTTATAGAGGAACCAATTGAAACAGGTCAAGAATTACTGAAAGAGTTAGATCAATTTGGGGAAGTTGCAGGACTTAAAATTAATAGGGAAAAAATGAAATTAATAACTAAAAATTTAACAGAAAAACAAAAACTAAAATTGGAAAGGATAATGGGATTACAAATAGTAAAAAAAAGTTAAACACCTAGGAATTTGGTTGATGGCTCAATGCAAAACTCTAATGGAAAATAATTATAATAAATTATTTCAGCATGTTAAAAAAGATTTAGAGATATGGGTTAAATTGCAAATCTCCTTATTAGGGAGGATTGTCACTATAAAAATGAATATTCTGCCCGAATTTATTTACTTATTCCAAACAATACCAATAAAAATACATAAAAATTACTTCGTGGAACTTAACAAGATAATCACCAAATTTATCTGGCAAGGGAAAAAACCGAGGATAAACCTAAAGGCAATGCAAGATATGAAGATCAGGGGAGGTATGGCACTCCCAAATTGGGAATTATACTATAGTGTAGCCTCCTTACTCTGGTTGAAAGAATGGGTAAATCTGTCGAATAAAAGGATCTTATTTTTAGAAGGCCATGATTTACAGAGGGGATGGCATGCATTTTTATGGGACATTGGGAAAATTAAGCAGAAGTATTTCCACAGACATATAATTAGAGATTCCTTATTGGCTAATTGGAACAAAATAAAAAAATACATTATTTAAAAATCCCAGTTTGGATCTCAACGATGGAGGCGATGATACATCCAAACAATCTAGATCTTAATGATAAAATACAAAGACCTTCTTGATGCGCAAGGAACTTTAAAATCATGGCAAGATCTCCAAGAACAGGGGCTACAAGTAGACTGGTGGGCTTATTTGCAAATTCAAAATAGATATAGCCAGGACAAGAAAAATTTTGGAATTTATACTAAGGCACAACAAATAGATAAAATTTTATTAGGTCCAGATAAAAAATATATAACTAAATTTTATAATTATTTACTAGAGACGGAATTAGAAGAGGAAGTAGTCAAAGGCAACATGATAGCTTGGAGCAGAAACATAGGACGTAGCATTACATTATTAGAATGGGAAAAGGTTTGGACAAGGAATAATAAAATTACAAGATCAGCAGCATATAAAGAAAAGGAAACATCAGAATATTATAGAAGCTGGGAATGCTGGTATGATTGGATAGAACAAAAATAGAAAATATATTAGTAAATAATGTAAAATGTAAATCATAATTATATACTCGCAATAAGATGTATTTGTAAATGTATCACCAATATTGATAACAAACAAGGAACCATAGACTGTCAATAGTAGAATTGTTAGTTTTTTAATCATTTTCTTTTTTTCCATTTCTTTTCTTTCTTCTTCTGTGTGTTGTGTTTGTTTGATATTTTGGTTTTGTAATCAATAAAGTTTGTTTAAAAAAAATATTTGACATTTCAAATGAAATAGTCTCAAAAGATTTCATCTTTGTTTTATTAAATCAATATGCAATTAATTATATTTCCATTGATCATTTTAGCATATTTGCTATTATAGTAAATATTTAATACTGAAGCAACAGAAGCCTTGAACCCTTTATTTATTTGATTCATACTCTAAATAAGATATTTATAATCAAATGCTCTCTTATGCACATCTATTTAAATCCTGAACAAAGATAGTTGATCAGGGCTTCTGATTCCTTATTTCTTTATTTATGTCATATGCAGAATTAAAAGTGAATAATACATTTTAATACATATTTAATGTCCAATCTTTTCTTTTCAATTTCATGAAAAAGAAATTGGTAAAGTAGAAGATAGTTGTAAGATGAATAGGCAGAAAACAATGGAGTAATGCTGAGATATCTATTATAGAATCATCCTACAATTTGGCAGTTCCATGCATGACAAATTCTTTTGTGTATATGTGTGCCTGCATGTCTGTGTATGTGGTGTGCTCCTTTGTGTCAGTACTGATTCTTGGCAATTGTCTGTACACATCCCTGCAGTTTTCTTGGCAATATTTTATTGTCAGCTTTCTAGGGTTGAGAGAGAATGACTGGCCCCAGGTCACCTATCGGACTTTGTGCCTAAAACTAAACTAGAACTTACACTGTCCTAGTTTCTATCTTGCTGCTTTAACCACTACAAAGAATTGGCTCTCTAGTCTATACCAAATAACGGAGTCCTTCATGCTGTCATGCAGATCCAAAAAAAAACAAAAAAACAACAACAACCCACTGCTCTTGCCAACTTCCATTTGTTTACACAATCATGTATGCAGAAAGTAGAGATATACTGAAGATCTCACCGTGTTCACTTTGGACAGTGCGCCAATAACTTCGGCAGGAGGACTTTCCTTTTTCTTCTCTCTAGGAATGAGTATTTCTTATAAATATGTAAATTATTTAATTATTCCTTCTCCCCTTTGTTCCAGACTTATTTACCTTAAAAGGCAACAGCAATGGGGCTCCTTGTGTATTCCCTTTCCAGTATGCTACCAAGTGGTATGCAGACTGTACAATTGAAGGAAGGACTGATGGTTTGCTGTGGTGTTCAACTACAAGGGATTATAACAAAGAGAAGAAATATGGATTCTGTCCTGTGAACTGTAAGGATTTTTCAAGAGAAGTTTGGATCATGAAGTATTATTTATTTATTTATTTGTTTGTTTGTTTGTTTGTTTATTGAATTTATATTGTTGTATATTCACCCATTCATGGCAACTCGAGGCTGCTTACAGAATGTTAAACCATATTTAAAACAAAAAACAATTAAAAAATCAAATAAATTAATAAAGTACAATAGAACAAAATCTGGAAAAATAGATAAATAAAAAATCACCCTCCAACTCCCCACCTGATGACAGCAGATCATATGAGCTATTTGATGGGCTCCATCCTGCTCTGGGTTCCCCATGCCCGCTGGCAAAACCAGGTCTTCAATGCCTTCCGAAAGAATGCTAGAGTGGGCGCCCTTCTAATCTCGGGGGGAATGATGTTCCAGAGAGAGGGAGCCACCACAGAGAAGGCCCTTCTTCTGGGTCCCACCAGGTGTTTTTCTCTCAGGGACGGGACCCGCAGCATTCCCTGCCTCCCAGCTCTTCTATGGTATTAAGGTATTATGTAACTATGTAACACTGTTGTATAGAGGAAATACTTGCCTTTTAAAGACTAATATTTGTTTGTTTAGTGAGAGAACACAAACAGATTATCTTTGGTTGGTGTACAAAAATAATCAAACACCAAACACAAAGAAAACAACACATACCATTAAATAGCAACTAAAGCAGCAAAGAGTGATCAGAATTCATTACAGCATATTGTCCATCCAATTGGAAAGTCTATTCATCCAGAGTCTGAGCCGTGGGGAAAATGCTAGGTCTTGTCTTTCTGAAAGGGTTGGGGCCAATTGTGAAGATGGATGAATATTGTTCCGCCCAAAACAGGAAGTGCTACAAGAAGGCACACTTCCAAGATCCATAATGTGACATCACTTCAGTAAGGCACACACACTCACACACACACACACACACACAGAGGGGGGGGAACACTATAGGACTTTATAGCTGATAACCATCTCCAACATCTTGGAGTTGCACTCAGAAGCTTAGTGAGCTACCTCAGTTCACAGAGTAGAGTTAAGCAGACATAATTTCTCACTCTATTGTATTAGTGGATCATTTGATGCTGCTGGATGTATTCAAGATCAGGGCCAGCATCAAGTATGTTGCAATAATTCAAAAAGTATTATGGAGTCAGCGTAGTTAACATATGCAATTAATATGCAATATGATTAGACACCACATTGTAAATCATCAATTAAGAACATTAAGCATATTTTATAAGCATATTATAATATATAGCCTTCTATATTACTCATTTCTAGTATGTATTTGGGTTGTATGCTAAGCAACAACTATAGCATTGTTTAGATGGTGAAGGAAAAGTGGAACTGCATCCTGACCTTTTGACACATTTGTTTTGCACATTGTCTTCTGTATGTTCTTGCAAAATTGTCTAGCTTACAGGAAGCATGACAGATAACTCTGATCTCCTTCCTGAATTTTATAATTGAAGAACTTTCTTTTCAAAGTGTTTCATTTTTGCCTCTTCTTTTGGGGTTAATATTAATAGATATACTGTTCTTCAGACAGCTTCTATACAGTATTAAGCAGTTAGTGAATTAGCAGCAAGCTTTCTTCTCCAAAGTTTCTTTTTCCAAAGTCAACTGGACTTTCACTTTTTATCCAAGAAGTTTCTTCTGTTCTTCTTCATAACTGAGGAAGCTTCTTGGATGAGAAGCTCATGAAAAAACTATGATGTGGATGATTGAGAATCTCTATAAACATTCAGCTTTCTAATTACTTCATTCTGGCCCCTAGGACGAGTGTCCTGTAGCAGAAAAACTCAAACGCCATGGTTCTATGATTTATTTATCAAACTAAGCAATGATCTGTTCATCTGTGACTGCTCAATTAAAGTAAAAATAACTTGTTACCCCATCTAATTAATGTTTAATGTGCTATGTTCTAATGAAATTAGGCTTTAGACTTAGATGGACAAAAGACTGCTATTAAATACATACATACATACATACATACATACATACATACATACATACATACATACATTATTACCATTTGTTTATCAGAAGTTGACTGTAATTCAGTGGCACCTACCTACAGTTCATGCAGCCTTTCAGAATTCTGATGACCTTCAGCTGTGTTAACATTCCCACTATATAAACCTGAGACAAGGTTGACTCAAAGGCACAAATTAGTAAATAAATCATGGAATCCATAGTCTAATAAATATATAGAAAGATGGTATGGAGTCATAGCTCACATATCTAGTTTCAGATATTAGTGCAAAATTGCTTCTTTTCTCTGTATAAACCATTATTTAGACATCTAGTCTTTGCTTATTAAAGTCTTATGCTTTTTTTTGGCTGCTTGACCAAATAATTTTAATTTGAAATATAGGAAGAATCATCACAGAACTGAGTTAAAATTGAATTATGACCATTAAGGCAATTTTATGAATATGGTTTTAGTCTTAATGAAATATTTAGTATGACATTGTTTTAAAACTATGGAAAATATGGATACACCTTTCTTTTAACAGCTGATGCAAACTTCTATTGGACTACAGACCCTGTGGCAAGTGTCCAGTATCAAATAAACTCAGAAGCTGCTCTAACCTGGTTCCAAGCTAGTAAAAGTTGCCAACAACAAGGTGCCAATTTGTTGGGTATCACAGAGGTACATGAACAAATGTACCTTACAGGTAAATAATCTAAAGTCCATTAATATTTTGTAGCATTTCACTCAGTATATTCAGAAATATGAGAAGGAACTAACTATATGCTTCTTGTCTCCCAATAAATTGTAATTGTTGCTGTATACTACTCAGTGTATATTCCAGAAACAGATGCATTGCTAAATGTTGACACTTTTTCAGGGTTAACTTCTACTTTGAGTACTGCACTCTGGTTGGGTCTTAACAGTTTGGATTTCAACAGTGGCTGGCAATGGAGTGGTAGCTATCCTTTCAGATATCTAAATTGGGCACCAGGTAATTTTCTCTTTTATGTTAAACATATACATTAAAAAAAATACCGTCTTCGGTTCAAACATGCACAGAAAAACCAATACAGGTTGTTCTTTGGACAGCGTGGAATGCCATTGCTTGTACTTTGTTTCCAATACACACAACTTAGGGAAGAAAGGTGCAGGACAGGGAGAGCAAGAAAGGACCGAAAGAAAGTAGGGTGATCCTATATTATCAGGCTGCTGTGCAGATATGGACCCAGTCTTTGTATAAGCTCTTGCATATTCTAAAGATCTTTTGAACACATTGCATAACTTGTCCCTATCCACATCTGCATTAGGTTCAACAAAGTTTTACAAAATGATGTAAGAAGTTAATAATACCCTTTTTGCCTTCTACTTGTTTCCTGAAGGAAGCCCATCCCCAGAGCCTGAGAAGATCTGTGGAGTATTAAATCCTGGTAAAGCAGCCAAGTGGGAAAACCTGGAATGTGATAAAAAACTTGGTTACATTTGTAAAAAAGGAAATGCCACTCTGAACAACTTCATTATTCCTTCAGGTAGGTTAGTAAATGCAACATGGAGATAAACTGGCAAAATTGGCGTTGCCCTGATAGGAAATGATAGTGTTTAAGTTTTCTTAAAATGCATTTGTGAATCCTCTCATAAAGTTCACACCAAGGGAAGCATTTAAATTTTCTAGTCCTGGAAAAGCTGAGCTTTAGGAATAGCTAACTCAGAAATATATAATCAACTATGTCATGTTCAGAAGCCTCTAACTTCCAGTAATAACAATTGATGGGGACTGGGGGAGTCCTTGGTGATCCCTGAGCTTGGTTCATTTTTTGCAGATATTTGTTTAGCCAAACTAGGAAACATCATCAGCATTAATCAACAAAAGCAATTGTTTCAATAAATTCCTATATAAAACTTCGGTAGGCCTAATTTAGGCTTATGCAATCAATTTCTTCCATTATTTCCTCATCAAATTTATATCTCAAGATATCTTCAGAAGTTCAGGATGGTATAGAAATAATTATTTTCTTCTATTTCCCACCTCTCAATCTTGTGTAAGAGGTTGGGCTGAGTGATACTGGCTGGCCGTTTAGTCATTGAAGGAGCTTTCATGGCTGAAGGTGGATGCCTCTGATGCCAACCTTGCCCCATAAACACCACATTGTACAGGTTCTTTTTGCTTCATTATTTTTTTTCCTGGAACTGGTGTGAAGTTAAAGACATCCCTTTAAATTAAAAAAAAAACTGAGTCCACAAAAGTCTAATTTTAGGATTAGACAACATGAAAACAAAGTGAAAATGTCATTCTTCCTTCAAGCTTTCTTTGTTTCTTCACTTTAATTCTGGGTGTCAAGGGAAGTATTTTGCAATTGCATAATTAGACAACAGGAAGTCAAACTCTTTGCTATCTGTAGAAAAATATCTGGACAGTTCCTTAGTGCATGCCCATCATGATCCCACAGACAATCTTTTTTTCTCTTTCCTTTTCCATCCTTCTGTTCCTCATTATTAACTATCTGTATCTCTTTCTTGACTCTATTAACTTTCTGTATTCTATTTCTTGACTGTGAAAGCCCAGGTTTCCTGTATACATCAGTTTTCACCTAGAACCTTTTCAAAACAAGACATTGCACATATATGCACAAACATACATTCATTCAATACATTGAGCTATTTCTTTTCAGAAAGATGCACTTAGTAATAATAAATTGTTAGTATTTAATAAGTGAAAGAATGCTAGGTTACATTTTAATATATTAATAAATATGTATAGCATTTAAAAAACTGATTTTAAATAAAATAAAGTTGCTACAGCAGCATGAATCAGCATGAATGTTGAGAGTTTCTCCCTTTCAAATTCAATTGCACAAAAAGAAAAAAGATATGAAGAAAGGTAAAAATAATATATGCAAAAACTCTTTCATGAAGTTTACTTCGGCAGTTAGCTATGGCTGGCTGAATGGTAATTTAAGAGAAAATTTCAATATTGTAGTTCAGACTGGAACACATCTCACTAAAGTTGTTTCAAGAACTAGGCTTTTGTTAGAATTCGTTATAATTACCAGTTTAATGGAAGCAAATCAGAAACAGGAAGTGTGACAAGAATGCAACTACCTCTTCCTGTTCTGGGGAAGCACGTGTGAATGTTTCCAAAGATGCTTCAGTTTTATGATTACCATGCAGTCAATGAAGACAAGTAGAATCCAGTTCCAGCAAACGATGACAGCAAAGCATTATATATTCTGTATCTCTTTAATAGCATGTTGATATTCCAGATCTTATTAAACATTCTTGTACTCTCTCAGGCATCTCTTAAATTGTTGTCAAATTCCGAATACTGCACAAGCTGCTTTTAAGGCACCAAACCATTTTCCTTTAGCTGATTTTCAGATAGTATTAACTTTGGTTTTTTTTAGTTAGATCTTCCTAATTCCAAGTTCAGCATTCTCGTATTTTGCTTTGGGAAATTCCCAGTTATCTGATTCCTCAGTTATATCAATAACCTGGCCACTGGAGTTAAACAGTGGTATAGTATTTCTGCAGGAACTAATAAGTTCTACTCCAGTTTTGGGAAGTTGGGTATGACAGTTCCAGTCCTTTTTGCCAAGAATGATAGGCCTTTCCAAGAAAGGTAATGGTGAATCAGTAATATATTCAGCCTACCTTCTTTGCTTTTAGAGCAGTGGTTCCCAAACTTTTTCAGCCCACCGCCCCCTTGGTGCTACAAACTCATCCTCGGTGCCCCTCACCCAGGGGTGGGATTCAAATTTCTGTGGGCGTGGCCTAATTTGAGGGTGTGGCTTGCTGGTCATGTGACTGGGTGGGCGTGGCTTGCTGGTCACGTGACTGGCTGGCATGGCTTGCTGGCTGGGCATGGCTTGCTGGTCACATGATGGGGTAGGTGTGATTTGGTGGTCATGTGACTTGGTGGGCATGGCCAGGTGACTGGTAAACCAAATACAAGTGGTCCTCACTTAATGGCTGTTTGTTTAGCAAGTGTTCTAATTTATGACTGGCCTCCCCAGAGATAGTTGACCCATTTTTGGAGTTTTTACAGCCATGCACACACATACACACACACTCCCTTCTAACCCTGCTGGAGCAGGTCATTGGACTAGAATCAGCAAAGCATCTCTGAATAGATTCTAGCAGAGAATAAAATCTAATCAGAGATGCTTTGCCGATTCTTGTTGATTTGTTAATTTGTATCTCATTATTTTATGTTGCTGAATTGCATTGACATGGGTGTCCCTTCTTGTGCATAACCCAGAAGCTTTTGTGATTCTTTGCAGCAAAAATTACTGACCTCTGGCTTCGCTCTACTTTTCAAACATGCCAACACTGCCGCGTTCTAGGTGCCGGCCCCACAGGTCCACCCCATGGAGCCCACTGCACTGGAGGGACCTGCCCAAGCAAGTCAAGTCAATGGGGTGAGCCTGAGAGAGGGAAAGAGAGAGAAAGAAAAGAGAGAGAGACAGAGAAGGAAGAAAAAATAGAGAAAAGGGAAAGAAAGAAAAAGGGACAAAGAAAGAGGGGGGATGGAAGGAAGGGACAGAAAGAAAAAGAAATAAAGAAGGAGGGAGGGAGGGAGGAGAAAGATAATGAAATATCTATTCTAGTCCAATCACCTGCTCCAGCAGGGTTAGAAGGGAGTGTGTGTGTGTGTGTGTGTGTTCTCCTTGTAATTTACCAGTACATTTTGGTTTTGCCTTCTTCAGAACTGGCACTGTAATACATTGGGGAAAAGTAATTTTTTAGGGTGTAGATCTGGTCCAATGGATCCTGTTTAAAGCCTCAA